AGATAATTTATTTAATAAAAAGTATACTTTTTTTGCCTTCAAACTAAGCTGAGAATTGAATAGTATTATGAATTGGTAGCATAATGAAAATATGTTTGTGAAAGTACATAAAAATTTGCAACCCAAATTTATCTGACGAAATATTAGTAAATATTAATTAATTAAAATATAAAGTTATTTTTACACATTTCACAATTACTGTAAAATGTTATCATATTATTTTACAGTTTAAAGACAAAAATTTTTAACTAAGGTCAACATTTTAAGATAAGAGCCATAACATGCAAATGATCTCTTCTAAACATCCGGTGGGTTTGTGATACTTTTCACAACTATCTAACGATCAGAAGTAGGAAGGAAATTCTTAGTTCGAAATATATGTTAAAATTTAAGCTCATCTAATTAAATAATATATAAATAAAGATGTCAATAAGAAGTTTAAAACCTTTCTATTACATATTGTATTATATATATATTGACATAGTAAGAAATTTCTAGACTGAAACTGAGTAATTAATTGGTGTAGTGAAACCGTATGGTCTGAACAACTCTAGTCTTGAGAGCTAAATAAGTATCATCCTATGACCCATAAAAAAAAACTTTACTGTAAACAATTAAACTGTACATTATTAGTGAGGCCGCAATTAAAGTCTTGCTATCACAGCGTAGTTCGTAAAAAAATTTAAATATAAGTAGCGAATTGAAAGATAAAATGACTATCTTCTAGATAAAATGACTTTTACCCCTGATGGTTAGGGGCATAAGAATTAAATGGCGACTAAAACTCAATAGTTCCCGCGACAGTCGGGTCTTTATACCGGAACGACCCGGATTTTTATCCAGCCAAGGACTTTCACTCCCGCAATATTCCCCGAAAACCAATTCGGGGAATAATTTGCGGTTGCAACAACAACAACAACATTAAATGACTTTTGTGCAGAGACGGGTCACAATTATGGGAAAACGAAATAGTTTATGCGATCGACCTATTTTTCTGGTGATTTAGCCAGTTTATACCAAAAACGCTGAGCTCTTTTTACATAAAATGTTTGAAAAAGAAGACAAAGAAGGTAAAATCAGGGGTAATGTCTGCAAGAGTGCCCAGTTCGTGTGAAAAGGCAATGAAACAAAATACATTTTACCTATACTCGGAGTGAAAACAATTACAGTTTGAAATCTACTGACGAAAAATGCTCGCAAAATAATTGCTACTGATACACACACATCCAAAGGAAATATGAACTTAACACAAGCTAGAGCACTTACGCTGTTTATGTCTGGTCTTATTAAGAATACTACTCAAACATATAGGAACTTTGCAGTTCGAATTACCAGCCGAGATCTCAAAGCTAGTACAGCTTGGTGTTTACTTTTTGTTTAACACAGTGTTAAATACGCCCAAAACTGTTGTAAGGCGAGAGAAATTATCAAAACGTTTTGGTTTTCGCTTTTTGGGTAAAAAGAGCCGACGAAAATTTTATATTCCACGTTCACTGATGCTGGTTACCACATATTTCACCAACCCCGTCGAAACAGCTCGTTTCCTGGACCTCGGCGACTTAGATTGATCAAACCTATGCCTAAGCGGGGTTAGCGAACCGATACAACAACAACAACAACCATATATTTCAGTGAAAGCACAAAAATATATTACTATCTCGCTGGTGTATCGAAATTCAAAAGGTAACCATTATTGTTACTATTTAATACTCTATCAAATGCTGGTGGAAATTTAAGTGAAATATTCTTTTAAAATATTTTTGTTTTGCATGTTTGGTCAAGACAAATTATATTTGTGTTAAATAAATATTTTTATAGTGAATCTTCTTCCTTTCTTATAAAAAGTAGAACATAAATAGGAATTAATTTTCAGGTCACACTACATATTTGCCCATTTTCTCACCTCTTATCTTCTTTTAATCAGAAAACCATAAGAAAATATTTTAAGCAAATTTTGGTTTTGAATCTGCACAAAATCATAACTGTATAAAATAATTTAACGACATTTTATTTTATTTATTTTATTTTTTTATTCGATAAAATTTACATGAAAGTTAATGTCTCTACATGTCAACATACTCTTTTGCAGGCAATTAATTCGCTTGCAAATGAAATAGCAAATCTGCAGCTTATATTTTATATCTTCTGAAATTTTACGACAAACATAATTTTTCTAATTCAACTCAAACTAATAAAGATAAACGAAATACAAATATTCTTACGCAAGATGTGTACAGCGCAGGCTAAGCTTTTTGCAAAATGGCCATAGACACATTAAAGCACTTCTATAATGGGAGAAGGAGAAATGAATTTACACACAAGGGATATAATAAAAAGTAAGAATGAATGCAAATACAATGGGATAAAGATTTATAAAACAATGAACCTTTAGTGCACTTTTACAAAATACAATGAAGTTCGTTGGATATCATTTTATAAAAAAAATTCTACATTTACGAGCATTTATATACGTAAACAAAAAAGCGACAAGCAAACAGTTTTTAAATGCAATAGAACAAGACGTAATAAGTTTCCTTCCTTGCAACAGATAAAATTCAGCATGGAAAGGCGGTAAGGCTGATTGATACTTCCTTGCCATAAAACACATGCAAATACAAGGTACATACAAGTACGAGCATATAAGATGTAAGCGTTAAATATATTTGTTAGATTTTTCGTTTATATTCTGATAGTGAAATAATGAACTCTTTTTTCAAACAATATTTATTAAAAGTTAGTATTTTAGTGAGTTGAATTTAAATTCTTAACATTTTTTACAAGCAAGTCGATTGTTTAATTATTACTTATAGAAACTAAAATAAAAAAGTCATATTTATGTTTTATTATTCTTTCAACTTTATTTATATTTTTTACAACGTGAGTTCGACTTAGAAGCCTACGTTAACAAACTGATTGATTCAAATTTTTTTAATACAATAGATTTAATTAAATTTATTTATTTTTGTAGACATTTAAATTAAGCAAACATTTTTTTGTTTATTTATTTCTTAAAATTCGAGTTTATTTAACTTAGTTTATTTGTTTGCTGAGAATAAAGCTGAACCACATATAAAAACAGAAATTATTTTAGGTTGGTGATACACTCAAAGGGGGTAAAGGGCGAAGGCAAATAGTAAAGTGTATAAGAAGAATATATATAAGTGTTGGTATGCATGTTTGGGTACGTGTACTGCACATATAAAAATGTATGGAAGTGAAATATCATAATAGTTGAAACCGGTGTTGAAAGCTAGGAAAACGGTAGCAAAGACGATTTTCGTGTTTGAATTAAATATCAATATTACTTATACTTTTAATTAATTAAAAACTAATTAAAAAAAATATTAAAACTAAATATTTTAGTATGAAGTGAAATAAAATAAAATAAAGAAGTACAAAAATATTTAAAAAATTTAATAAACTTATATCAAAAATAAAATTAAATTATATAAAGTGAAAAAAATAAATTAAATTAAAACTTGATATAAAAATAAATAATAAAAAAATTAAAAGATGTATAATCAGGAATCTACTTTAAAATTTGTACCTTTCTATATTAAGTTTTTCATATTTTATGTTACTGAATTTAAGTTTCAAATATTTTCATTTTCTGAATTATTATATTTTCACTTTCAAACAAACAAGAAATTTTCAAACAAATTTTATTTAAAAAATAATATATTAAAGTTTTAATAAAAGGAAATATATAAAAGCTTTAATTAATATAAATATATAGTTACACCACTCTTAAATAAGTAATAAAATCAAATTGAATAATGTAAAATAAAATAAATTAAGTAAATTGAAATAAGAGAACCAATAATAACAAAAAAAGAAAAAAAGTTTGGTGTAATTAGAAAAAAACCCTAAATTAAATTAAGTAAAATTATAAAACGCGAATTAAAAAAAAATCTGAAATTTATTTAAAAGCCTTTAGATGGCTCCATCTCAATTCGTCATATAATAATTTTTTTCTAAATAATTCTATTTATTTAAATAGTGTATTTTTTGTTATCTCCTATTTTGTTTACCAAGAATAAATATATATCTAATTTATAACCAAAGTGAAAGTAAACATGTGCATATGCATGTTTATATGTATAACAATCCAATGAAAAATGAAAACTTCAAAAAAAAAGAAAAACATAAAATGCAGAAAATAAATCGAATGTTTTAATTGAATTTAATTTCATTACCATTTTATATATATTTTTTTGGGAACATATATTTTGCATATTTAGATATGTAAAAATATGTATAAAGTTTAAAAATTTTGAAACATGCAAATATAAAATACATATTCAAACTCGAATAGATAGAGATATTGAAAATCTTACGAAAAAATCATGCTCAAAAATTAAGTAGATAATAATTGAGAAGAAGGCAATTAAAAAAAAAATTGGACAATTATATAAAATATATACTCACACTGGAAAATACGGAAATATATGAAAATTGCAAATTGTAAGTACTGAAAAGAATTAAAAATTTTCACTAATTACCAAGAGATTTGAGGTAAAAAATTTATTAGAGCTTTCTCCACTAGAAATCGATTTTTAAGTGAACAAATTTTGACTGGAGCCTTTTGAAAAATTGCTAAATTTACTTCCCATAAATATAAAATTAAAAATTTGGTGAATTCTCACTGACAATATGGCCAAATTATTTATGGAAATATTTAGTAAAATTACCTTTGACTGGAATATTTTGTAATTTCATTATATATTTCTGCAAAGTAAGTTTAAAATTATGTTTTCTACCGCTGTAATTTTAGCCGAATGTAATTTTTAAAACATTTTTAACTCAACATTTTTTAGTTTGCTAATTATTCTAATAGCTTGCATTTTGAAATCTCGTTCTCATCAAATACATGCAGTTTTTTTAATCCTTTAGCAGTAAGGGCGTTTGCCAAACAATGCGATTCTTTATTTTATGAGCCCCTTTTTTAAATATATATTATAATTTGTATAATATACTTTCAAGATGTTTCATATTTTTGATTTTTTTTGTTATATTTCATTTCTAACTATTATGAGTTGTAGCATTTAACGTCTTAAGGACGTACGTAAATAAAGAACGGAGATAAGCAATTGAATAATTTTGAATATTTCAATTTCTAATGTGAATAATTATTATTGGTTTTTATGATAATTATGAATAATAGATTTTAAATTGGTGTTATTGTTCATAACAATTTCGTTCGAATATACATGTATTTATCAACTAATTGTAAATATACATATTTATTGCTGCGCATCATGCCATCCTTTCCGGAGGTTTAAGCGAGGAGTTAGATAATGTTAAACACCTTTTTCTTTGACGTTATGGAATTTTTTTCTAATTTTTTTTTTTTCTAATTCTATTAGAAAAAAGTTCAATTTCTGAAGATATTTATAATATTAATTATTTTCTCAAACGCACCTTTGAATTCGACCTTTAATGGCTTCATTTTCATTTCAAAAAATTGGATTATTTTTAATTTTTATTTTCCTTATTTTTACTATTTGTTTCTTTTAAAACTAGCTTAGGATTTGACATATGCGCTGTCTACATAGTTTGAAACTGAAATTTTTTGCGCATAATATTTTGACTAAAACTTTCACTTACTGTAAGCTGTTTTGGCTATATATGTAGATATTATGTTTATCCGCCATTTTCTGTCGGAGCAGATTTTGATTTACGTTTCGTTGAATGCACTAATATCTATAAATGTGTGTATATGTGTCCGCTGGCTGCCAAAGGAACGCCAGTTTTTAATATTTGATTGCTATGCTAAACCAGTTTCTCTTGTTTTTGCTTTAAATGGTTTTTATTCGATTTAATAATTTTTCTGTAACTTCATTTCCCTGGTATTTTATTTTTATCGAAGCTTTACTACCGCTTGCTCTACTCATATACTTATTATTTTAAGTATTTACTATTTTGCTTGTCAAATGTGTGTGTGTGTGTGTGTGTGTGTGTGAGTGTATTTACATATCTTTGTATGATGTCTATGAGCGTGTAAAATTGTTTTCTTATAATTTTTGATTATGTATTCTTCTTTCTTATTTTTCTTTTGTTATATGGAATCGTGAAAAAAATTATTTTCATTATCCTTCATTGTTATTGTGTCCATAAGAATTTTCCTGCTTCTTCTATGAGCTCTTAATTTTTTCTCTGTTATCTGAACTTTACTGTTTACTATATATTTTTCGATTTTTTTTTTTTTTTTTGTTTCTTCATTAGTAGTTTCCTCGTTTAATCGTTATTAGAATTAAACAAAGTCTCTTTTGGTTAATCACCACCTAAACTTAACGCCTGTACTATACGTGGATCAGCTTTACTACCCTCACGAAATTCGTCGAGCGTTAAACGATCATCATGATTTTTATCCATTTGATCGAATATTTTATCGACACGTTTTTGTGGCGTATTCTCTTCTTCTGTTTGCGGTTGTTGGCCCTTTTCAAGGAGAAAAAAAATAAATGTTGGAAGTAGGAGAAATTATTAATTAATGCAAAATAATTTTTTAACTAGATAATACATTCAACAATAATTATGTTAAAAATAGTATAATATTACAAAAATGCTGTATGAAAATTAGATACAGTAAATTCAGTAAAAGTTGGTTAAATATACAAACGTAAATTTTATTTAAAAAATTAACGTAAATAAACTTATAAATAAACATATCATTTTGAAGTTGTAATATTACATACCACCATTTGATATATCGCATCGACTATATTATACATTTCTTCTCTCGTTATGTAGCCATCATTATCCACATCGTAAAGTCGGAATGCCCCTGAATATTTAAGGATAAAAATTTATTATCTCAATACAATTAAAGACGTCAATAATTTGTTAACTTTAAGGAAGGATTCTTTAAAAATATTAACCTTCTTAAATATTATTTAATTTAAATTTGACTACCTTAATTTCATTTAAGTTTAAAGTTTGTATAATTTAATTTGAATTTTTTTTTATTTTGCATCATTAATTTATTAGGTTACAATTTACTTAAATTTTTTTCGATGCATTTTATTTTATTTGACTGATTTTCATTTTATTTTGTTTAGTTTAATTAAAATTGTATTATTATTTTGTTTTGTTGTACTGTACTCTCTTTTTTTTTGTTATTTTATTTTACTTCGTCTTCGTTTATTTTGCTTCCTGTACTGTCATTAATATGGTACTTTATTTTCTCTTATTTTATTTTATTAAATTTAATTACTATAATTAAATTTTTTTCATTTATTTAATTTTTCTTCTTTCTTTTATTCTTTTATTTTTTTTATCTTAATTTATTTCTATATTTTTTATTTGATTTAATTTAATTTAACTTTATTTTATTTTACATTACATTTTTTTTTATTTTAATTTAATTTATTTCATTTTAAATTAATTGATTTTTTTAATTTTATTTAATTTTATTTTTTTTATTTTATTTCCTTTTACTTTATATTATTTGATTTAATTTATTTTAAATTGTTTTGATGTATTTTGATCTCATTTTGTTTTATTTCACTTTATTTTACTTTATTTATTTTATTTATATATATTTTATTTTATTTTGTTTTATTGTATTTTATTTTATATTATTTTATTTTATTTTATTTTGTTTTATTGTATTTTATTTTATTTTATTTAATTTTATTTTAATATATTTTATTTAGTTTATTTATTTCCCTTAAATAAATTTTATTTAACCTTATATTATTTATATTTTTTAATTTTTTATTTGATTTTATGCTATTTGTTTAAATATATATTTAATTAAGTTTTTCTTTTTACTATTTTATTGTTTATTTATTTATTTTTGTTTTATTTTACTTATATATATTTAAATTTTTTTCACATATTTTATTTTATATTTATTTTGTTTTTTTTAATTTTAACTTATTTCATTTCAAATTAACTTATTTGTTTTTTATTTTTAATTTTTTTTTTTATTTAATTTAATTTTTAATTTTTTAGTTTTTTTATTTTATTTCATTTCATTATATATTTATATAGATATGTAAGGTATGTACGCTATGAACGCTTTTATAAATTTATGCTTACATTGCAGCTTTTCGTCCAGATTACCACGCGATGTAATCGATAACGCGCGAATGAACTCCTCAAACTCAATGGCACCATCCTGAAATTAAATCAAATAAGAGCAGAAAGCAAGAGGACGAAAAAAACGAGTGAGAAACAGAAAATGTGAAAACCAAGCGCCAGATAGTTGAAGTTAAACGTTTATAAAGAGGTAAGGATAAGGGGAAAAGTTAAAATTTTGTATAGTTTAACTCAAACTTACATCATTTTATCGTACAAAATTGATCAAGGCATTAAATCATATCGGGAAATATTGAATAGAATTTTTAGTGAATTTATTGAATTGAATTGCAAGTAATGAATGAAATAAAATTGAATAAAGCTTTAGCTTCGTTTCAATTGCATTAATAAATGAGCTGCCAATTCACATTCAAAATTTATAGCCAAACCAATGTTAGTGCTGCCACAACTACGTGCATAGGTACGAAAGAATGCACAGCCGACAGTGAATTAATGGCTCCGTTGTTGCTTTTGGCAGACATTGGCTCATTTTTTTATTATTTGGTATATTCATAGAAACATATATTTTCGATTTCTACATGCGCTATGATTTTTCTTTTCTTTTTTTTAATAAGAAAATAAAGTATGTACAATATGTTAAGTGTATGCCTTACACTTCACGTCGCATTACTCACCTCGTTCTCGTCGAAAACTCGAAACACCAGCGAAGCGAATTTGCTGGGATCTCCTTGTGGGAAGAATTGCTTGTAAATTTTAATAAAACCCTGTCGAGTAGAGTTGAAGAAAAACCGTGAAAGCAAAATATACAATACATAAATACCAAATTCATAAAATTATAACACTAAGTAATAAAAACAAAAATTATTGGGTAGGTACATGGCGTGAGGAGACTTCGAAGTAGCCAGAGCCTGTAGTGTAGGAGTGTTGGCGTTACAGTATGTTTGAGTTTGTGTTGAAACTGTATTGTGACTAACAAGAAAACATGGATACTAGCAAAGTGTGGCGCCATGTTGTTCGTTTTATCATTATTCTTCGCTTGGCGCGCATGCTAGGGCAAAACTCAATATATTGTTGTTATTCTTGGAGCAATAACTGCGGTAAACAGCGCGACTTATCGCGAGTGACGTAGCTAATGCCCAGTTCTCGTTAAGGAGCTTCTGTTGCTAACGAGAACAGTGGATTAATTTGGATAAAGGATACATACATTTAAGTCATGAAAAAAATTAACTACATTTTGTTTAAGAAAAATTTATTACTTTAAAATTTTTTATAATTAATTTAATTTTACAGCGATAGTAAGTATTTAATATCGAGCACTAACAAATTGGTTGCTTGCTTTTGAAATCCAACCACTACTCTCAGCCTTGAACAAAAGTTCTTTTGCAAAGAAAATTTTATTTACAAGGCATAGTTTTGGGCGCGAATGAGAAGCGAAGAAAATGCTTTTATTTCTACTGTTTCACTTCACTTCATTTCAAGTAATGACGTCTACGTATAGTTTGCATAACAATACAATGAACATCTGACGCTTTACTTTAATAAACCAAGCTGCCAATACAATAATGGAAAATGTAAATATGTAATTTGTGAAATGTTTAGAACAAACCACACGCAAAAGCAGCAAAAAGAAATGAAAGAACAAACACAAAAAAATAAAATATAATACAATATTATTAAGAAAATAGACATAAAAAATAAAATATAAAATTAATTAAAAACAAACAACATTTGAAAACGTCAAATAAAATAATTATATAGAGACAAGACTAAGGAAAAAATTAAATAAAACCCTAACTGTATTAAGAATTCAATAAACAATAATATAAATTAAAACTATTCAAATACATATCATATAGTTAAAAATTAATAATATACGAAAAATTTTTGATAATTCAAAATTATATAAAAAAATATATATAAAAATAAAAATATGATCAAAACTAATATGAAGTATAAATAACAAAATTTGATGTATAATAAAATAGAAAACAAAATAATATAAAAAAACCTAACAAAGTGATATCAATGTAAAACAAAATTGAGGACGTAGCTGATGTAAAAAATTTAATTAAGTTAAATAAATTTACATAAAAATAAAATACGAAAACAAAATTAAATATAAAATAAATTAATCAAGATATATACAATATATATATGATAAAAACAAAGCCAAATAAAAATAAATAAAATAATAAACACAAGGTCATAAAACAAAAAAATTATTATAATATAACACAAATAATAATATTATATAATTAAATAAGCTAATATAATATATAGAAAACAATAAAATAAAGGCAAAAATAAAATAAAAAAATCATATGAAAAAAAAACAAATTAAAATACAGCAAACCGAAATCAAAAAAAAGGTTAATAAATTAGAAAAAAAAAAATTATAATACAATGAAATAAAATGACATTAAAAAAAATTATAAACTTATGAAATCAAACGTTATAAAATAAGAAACATCAAATAAAATAATATCGAAAAAAAATTGAAACAACTTAAAATAATCTGCAAAATTTAATAATAAATATTACTAAAAACGAGTTATGATATATTACATTAAAAAATTTACTAGAGCAACAAATATAAAATTCATGACATATAATAACATCAAAGAGCAAAAGAATTTTATAAAAATAAATTACATTATTATTAAAATAAACTTAACCTTAAAAATAAATAAAACAAAATATTAAGCAAAATAAAACGAAATAAAATAAGATGAAGTAAAATATATAAAATAAATAAAATAAGATAAAATGAATGGAATGTTAAATATAAAAATTAAAACAACATGAATAAAAATTTCAATTAAAAATTTAAATAAAACAAAGTAAAATAAATTAAGAGGAGAAATTAAAAATAGAATAAGCAAACTAAAACTGAATGAAATTCAAATAATTTAGAAATTCAAAATATATATTTTAATAAAATTAATAAATACAAATAAATAAAAAGAATTAATTTAAAAACAAATAAAAGTAATTAAATATTTAATTTTCAGGAGAAATAATTCAAATCATAAGCAAGTTTTAATGAATTTAACTTAATTATCAATCCTTACTTAAATGGGTATTTAATATGTATATTTTTTTTTAATATAGATTTTTAAACCAAATATTTATGTTTTTAATTATATACGTAAATAGACTTTGGTATTTATCATTAATATATATCTTATATATAAAAATGTATTGGGCTTTGGTTTGTCGTACACCTTGTACCCAGTTAATCGAAAGTCTAAATAACACAACAAACAACAATGGTAACCCGAAAATCGTTTGGTTAAAAAACAAATAACAATTGTTGCTAGGCCGACCATACATTCCCCACTTTTGCAAGTGGTTGTGTAAGCAGGCACGTGTGAGTTTTGTGTTTTTATTACGCCTCGTAAAAATCGCAAACACAAGCAGCGTAGAGTGTGGTACTCGTAAAAAGCAAAGAATAAGTGGGACTTTAAATCCTTCGTTATGGTTTAGTGTTAACCACAACAACTTTGTGTTTATTTTGGGATTTTTTCATTTTACTGTTTTGTTTTTACTGTATTTTGTTTTGATGCTTTCAGTTTTCGCTGTTAAGCAAACTTGCCAATATTTAAGTTACTCTGTCCGCTAGGAATATGTGCAATAGCTTGCTGTAGTCTGTTGTTTGGTTTTGTAAGTTTTTTTTCGTGCTGGTGGTGTAGGAATACAACGAAATACCCTTTTTAAGGATTAACAGAAAATACTTTGCATGAGAATGATTGGTATACTTTTATGGGGTTAAAAACGTCTTTAATTGAAGTATTTGCATCATCAACTGAAGAACTTTAAGAAAAATTTAGTTCTTATATGCAAATTTTATTTTCAGTTTTAAACATTATTGATTTATGGTTATTTTCAACCAATTATTTATCTAAGTTTCGTATTTAAAAGCCAAATAATTTCCATAAATTCACTTACCTGCTCCGTCAGTAAGCCATTCGGACAGTCTTTCAGAAAACCTTTGTGCCTTTAAAATATATAAGAAGAGAAAAATAAATTTAAACAATTTTTGTAAGCAATTATTATTATTTAATTAAAATATTTTTATTGAGATATAACCTTGATGGTGATGAAATCGAGTAATCCTATCTTTAAATATTTATTTGAATTATAAGTTCTTTTTTTTAAATTTTGAGCAAACAACCTAACCTGTGATTCAGCTTTCTTTGCTTTTCAATCTTCCTAAAAGTTGAAAATATTTTAATGGATAATTTCACTTAAAATTGTTTATTCAGAACTGAAATTGTTTTTGTAAATTTTGTTTAAAAGCTTGAGCAAAAAATGTGAAATTTCCGCTGATTAATTGTTGAAAAAATAAATAGAACACAGAAATATTGAAAATTCCAACAAAATTATTTATTACACATCTCTTTAAAACCAAAAGATATACATTTAATCGATTTTTCTACTGTTAAGAGGCCCAAGCACTGACTGCTTTCCTTTCGGTTATTTAGAAGCACTTTTCAAAGAAAATTTGTACACATGGCCTATGGGAAACTATAGCCACACTGGTGGTCAGGAGCTTGACTTTTGACGCCATGGTGACCACAAGCCTAAGATCTTTTTATATCACTCAACGAAATGGTTTCATCCATTGAGAAATTCAGACATTTCGTTTCTTTCTTGTATTGTACATCAAACACCGATTATTCTACACTAAAATATTTAGTGATTTGAATACTCAACTCGAAAAACTCATTTCTCACTTACTTCACTTTAGAACTGGGAGAGCAATTGTTGGCGGATTTAGTTTTTAGAGAATTGTTAAGAGAGGCACCTACAGTCAAGCGGGCAGTGTTGTCTTACTGAAGCTCTGGAATTTTACATTGAACTTACTTCTTGTTGAAACCGAAAGAAGAGTAGGTTTTTACGTAATTTTATGCAGTGTACACTTCAAAAGGGATCTTTGAAGCCAATCTTCCGCAGACACTGTGGTAACTCTAATAAATTTCCGTTAATAGTCCACCAATTCTAAATGGAAATCTCTTAGGCCTTGGAGCTAAGGCGAATTCATTGAAGTCAGACTATTCATGTTTAATAGAGAGAGTTGGAAATAGCATGTAAGGCAAAGTGGGCTTAAATCCTCTACCCACCAACTGTTGATATGTTTCAAAGGACAGCATCCATATGCTGATTAGTAATAAATTTTTGATATCCCATCCATTGAATTGACTGCCATTTAGATGTCATAACTATCAGCTCTTCGCTTAAGCAAACAAAATTTCTATCAGCTACACAGTTCGCATTGTTTCGACTTTAGACACCCGCTCTAACAGGAAAGCAAACAAATATGATACTCTGGCTGTAAGCCTTGAAGCTAACACTAGTTCAGAGCTTGGTAGTAGAATTGCAGAAAGTATTTTTTCCCTTAGCTCTTCATTGGGTGATTAATTCAAGCTGCCAGAACATTGCAGTGAGGTCCAGTCTGAGATCTCGGACGATAATATTTAATTCTCAGGTGGAAACATTTTCAGCTTCATATTAATAAAATCTCTATAACGGTCAACTCAAGCTATAACGAAGTATATTCCTTAGGATAAGCAAACTTTTTCCAAATAGAATTGTAGAAGGCAGAATGCGTGATATCCACGGAAGAAGGAGGACGTTTAATAGTTAAATGGGTTCCTCTTTCAGAGCCACTACAGAGACACTACAATGGGGTTATTTTGGCCTAGGTGCGACGACGTGTCTATCTACCAAGTATTGTAGTAAAATCAGTAGTAATTATATTAATAATAATGATNAGAGTAGTACCAAAACCAGTTAAAGTAATTTGTACTAATTCAACGAAGTTCTTCTGGCATTCATTTTATAATAAAAAACCAAAAGAAGATTATGCGAAAACATAATGTTGTGCCCTCTTCACCATTGTATACAACATTTCATTTCGGTTATTCATAAATCCGTCGTAAATTCACTCTTACTTCTATTCTCTGCTACTTAAGACACTTCTTTTGTGTACATTTATTTTTCTTTTCTATTTTTCAGGAGCTCCATTAGCAAAGCGCCCAATTAAAATTCATTTAGTCTACATCAAATTCCTCTTTTGAACTAATTAAAATTCCATTTGGAATAATTTGACGCAAAAATTTGGCGACTGCCTTGATTCGCAAACAACCATATCATATACACACATATACTACAGTTTCTGCTTATGAATGTAGGAATGCGTTTTCTGTGGAGCCTCCATGAGATAATGTAAGCAAGAAGCCAAGCAATCTGGTACTTAGAACTAATCCACCTGTTTGTTGATAAAAAATTAAAGAGCAAGATGGATAGAGAGAGAACGAAAAAGAAGAAGAGCCTGTTACATACACAAAGACACATTTTGATTATCAAAATCGCTAAACGCAGTAGCTCCTGCTTAGGATGAGTAAAAAAGTACTGCCATCTTTTATTAAAATAAAATTTTATGTCGTTGTTTTTTGGGCATCCCGTTTTATATTTTTTATATGTATGTTTTTTAATGTTTTCTGAATGAAATTATACCGTCGGCTTTGGAGCATTAATTCAATTACACCATAAGCAGCGTGTGGCATAAGATTTACAGCAGGAAACTTGCAGCATGTTGTTGTTGTTGTGGCTGGTCGGTATGTGGCTTTGATTTGATTTAAGTTTGGTTGTTTTTGTTATTGCTGTGTCTGTGGTCTGTAAATTTTCCTACGGCCTGTGGCATGACAGTAATGTGGTTAGCTAATGCCTGTGGTATGTTTAATACACCGTGTAATCGTGCACATAAACACAGACATTTTGATATTCACTAAGCAACAGTCAAGGATAAGAATATTACTTAAATGTGTCAAATTCGAAAAAAATCGCTTTAAGTTTTTTACTCACCATTGTCTGATTTCTTTTTCTGTGACTGTAAAGAGAGAAATAGAGAAAATTAGAACTTTTTAAACGATATACATTTTTTAAAAAAGAATATCATATGTGTTTCCACAAAATTTTATTTTAATACTAATAATAATATACTCGTACGTTAAGAGATGGGGACTGGTTCGAATCGTGTTTTTTTTTTTTTTTTTTGTTTTAATAATTCTATAACTTTTTTTTATTAAATATTATATGCTGCGTAAAGTTTGGATTTTTTTTTTGTTGTTTATTATTATTTTTATAGCAAAGTTTTGTTAGTGAAATCTATTTTATTTTATTTTATTAGTGAAATCATGAAATCCACTTGTAGTATTCCTTTCACTGCAATAAGTAACCGCCCCAAAAATTACTCAATTCACGCAAAAGTGTTTTTCAACGATTATCCAATTTAAGGACATCCTTCCACAGCAAACGATAATAAATAAATAAATAAATACATAACACAAGACCACTTGAATGTTGAACACACTTATTGGATGATGAATGAAAATAATTGCACTCGAAACACGAGCTTGCAATTTGACCTTAATTTTGCGTTTGGGTATTACTTTTTAAGGAGTGTTCAGTTGAAAAGTGAGTTCAATCGAAAATAGTGTCAGTTTCAATGTCATTCGCATTGCGCAAAAAAAGCTTAATGTTTGGCGTCATGGCCATTAACTTGCTGCTATCATGACACAGGTTTGTCATTTATTTGTGGCTATGGCTCCCCCACAGAAGTATTATTGTTCGCCTTTCAATTTGATATGGAAAGCTATTTGCATATTTCAAACGCATGATGTTAGGGTATTGGAAAATGTGAAATACAAACATACATGTATGTAATAGGCATGTGTATATACTATTGCCAATGTAAGTACACATATTTTTATGTAATAAATTTTATAATTTTATATAATTTAATTTTTATAATTTTATTTAATTTCATGTTATTTTATTTTATTTTATTTTATTAAATTTTATTATATTTTATTTTATTTTATTTTATTTTATTTTATTTTATTTTATTTTATTTTATTTTATTTTATTTTATTTTATTTTATTTTATTTTATTTTATTTTATTTTATTTTATTTTATTTTATTTTATTTTATTTTATTTTATTTTATTTTATTTTATTTTATTTTATTTTATTTTATTTTATTTTATTTTATTTTATTTTATTTTATTTTATTTTATTTTATTTTATTTTATTTTATTTTATTTTATTTTATTTTATTTTATTTTATTTTATTTTATTTTATTTTATTTTATTTTATTTTATTTTATTTTATTTTATTTTATTTTATTTTATTTTATTTTATTTTATTTTATTTTATTTTATTTTATTTTATTTTATTTTATTTTATTTTATTTTATTTTATTTTATTTTATTTTATTTTATTTTATTTTATTTTATTTTATTTTATTTTATTTTATTTTATTTTATTTTATTTTATTTTATTTTATTTTATTTTATTTTATTTTATTTTATTTTATTTTATTTTATTTTATTTTATTTTATTTTATTTTATTTTATTTTATTTTATTTTATTTTATTTTATTTTATTTTATTTTATTTTATTTTATTTTATTTTATTTTATTTTATTTTATTTTATTTTATTTTATTTTATTTTATTTTATTTTATTTTATTTTATTTTATTTTATTTTATTTTATTTTATTTTATTTTATTTTATTTTATTTTATTTTACTTTAATGATTTAATTATTTTTATTAGTTGATTTTTTACTACCACAAATAAATATCGTAAAATCAATATATTTCAAATTATTGGAATGGGTTATGAACGCCCGAAAATGCGCAGGAAGCCGCAAACCATAAACCGTGAATGTTTATGTGTGCTTCAGTGTGTACTAAAAACCACAATACACAAGCGATAATAGAAACCACAACATTGCTCAGCACATGAATAAATAACATGGTTGTAGGTTGCGTATACGCAATATTTCACTAACTGGCATTACACAAAAGCGGTGTGTGAAATGGCACTACAAAGTCACAAAATAAAAATTGAATAAATGCAATCAAAAAGAAAGCGAATTGAAAAAATTTAAACTCAAAAGAAATCGTCATTAATCCGTTAAAGTCGCAGCCAAAAAAAAAGTGGAAAATAGTAGTAAAAGATCCTATAAGGAGATTTAGTGGTTATTTTTTTAAGCTTTTCTTCTTAACTTTGCTTTGAGTATATACTATTGTAGAAAGTAAAGATAAATTGAATGAATGAATTAATGGTATACAACTTTTCCATTGTCTACCTAGTGAAAACTGTAAGCTCAATTGATATTGACCAAAAAGTATACACAACCCCTCACGCCAAAAAGTTGGTCGTACGATTCTGAGTGTGGTTAGGTTATTGACACTCCCATGGACCAATGGTCTTAATTTGAAGTAATTTTGGATCAATCGGCTATCGTTTCATCATTCCTACCAATCAATGCGAGGGTAATGAGCGATTCTATTAAGTTTTTTTTAAATTTTTTGAGGTGCCTTTGTAAAAAATATGGTGCTTTTGTTATGAGAGTGTACAGTTTTTTTTATTTTTTATATGTAGGGGAAATGGTTTTATTGTGCACAAAGAAAAACTACGAAGGTACGAATCTTGTTTTTTATTAAAATAGTTTTCTTAAATTAATAATGCAATTACTGTTTTAAATACATACAATACTTATAAATGAAATATGTTCAGAAAATATGAAACATATTAATTGCGAATTAGTTGAAAGGGCAAAAATATTGTTTTCTGCCTCATCACTTTTATATGCAAATTACAAAAAAGTGAAGTTGCACAAAAAATTTACATGCAAAAACAAATTATAACAAAAAGCATAACCAAAAAATGTTTAACATATATTTTATCGTTCACATAAAAATTCGACAATAAAGTTTTTCATATGAACAAATTTGTTTGTGTATCCTACGGCAAAATGAACATAAAATTCGCTTATGGTCTATTAAATTGTACACTGTCCGTTATATGCATTAAAATAGACACAAACATATGCTTCTACATATGTATCGTTATTTTTTGAACATTTACTTGAACAATATTTATAGAAATGTTTACCGTAATTTGCATACAAATGTCGTAATAAAAGTATTTTTTTCACATGTCACACGTCAGTGCAGAAAACATGATTACGTAATATACATATGTACTGCTACATGAAACTCATCACATTTGTGTATATATTGTTAAATTTGTGTTCCACCAATTATTTAGCATGTCTACATTATATTCTGCGTCCGACATGAATCGCTGACTTTTTTGCGCGAGAAGAGTTGGTTTGCGTGTGAGTAAAAGTGAGGACTTTAAGGGTAATAGGTCATAATTTCTTCATGCAGTGCAGAAAAAGGAGCTTAAAAGAAAAAGATATTAAAAAAATATCAAAAAAATAACAAAAAAAGTGATGATATAAAAAATACCATAATTACTAAGATAATTCCAATTTAGACAAATCTTAATTTGAAAATTGACTACTAAAATTTTTTTGCATGAAAATAATAGAAAATTCAGATATTTGTGGATTTTTAAAAATTTGATTTGAAATCAGAACTACTGACATAAAAAGTGGTTTTCATAATTAACATTCCCGGCTTCAATCCGTTCGGTATACTGGAAGACAACCACCTCCTTGAAAACTTTTTTGTTATTATTAGACAACGAAACTCAATGACAAAACTCTGTATTCCAAACGGAAGCTGTGAGCATTACAGAAGGTAACAAATGACTAACTGTTTTTATAAAAAAAAAGCTTTCAACTTCCTTCCGCATGGTTAGTATTGCCTCTAAACACTCGGTAGACCAGGGTCCTGAGTCGATATGACATGAAATAGAGGCTCCTAATTAAAATTCCTAGGCCATTTGAAGGTGGTTTTATTGGAGAAACATAAACGTCCACCACAAATTAGAAGAGGGCTGCGGTGCAATATTGCTTCAGTTGCAACCAGAAATTGTTAAATCCAAATGTTACTGTATAGCAACTTCACTTCACTTCATTCCGCAATAAAATCGTTAGCTGTCTGTGTGGATAGTACCTGGTGAGCATGGACCAAAATGTAGGCACAACAATCGGCTGGTTAGGTTAATATCACGGAATTTAAGGCATCAAACTTATAAAACTCAACTTTTATCACGCGGAGAATATTGGTTACCGTTAGTTACTATTAGCACTGAATTTCAAAGGATATTTTTTAAAGTGCTTGAAGGCAAAAATTACAAAGAAACATTTGGTAAAATTTCTTTTCATCAAGACAACACAGCGTCTTATAAATCTAACAATAAAATTAGCGGAATTTGCATTCACTTCATTCACCAGATTCAACCCGCTGGCTGTCCTCAGAGCGTGAAAAAATGTTTTTCAGCTTCTGCCAAATCACTTCAGCAAGTAAGCATGATAAGTGGGTAGACTTCCGCTACTTAGCGCTACCAAGGCTGAAATAGAGACTAAAACATTGCAATAACAAGTATCAGGGTGACGACCACAATATTTTGGAAATCAGATTTCTTCAACTAAGTGAACATCTAACTATTCTTCGTAGTGATCCAAAATATCGCCCACCAAAATAAGGCTTCATAAATGGAGCCATCTTCATACGCTATGAACACGGTTATTTGGTTAGCTCACAGAGTATTCAAAATTACTCAGGTTAAAATGCATTTTAGAGCTGCTACCGAATTACCCTCTGTCAAATTATGAAACAAAGTGCTTTTTCTTTGCCTTGTATTTATAGCCATATTATAGTATGTTGACTTGTCTGGTCACATTCCATGCTTTTAGTTACAATACGGCGAAAAGGGAGCATGTTGCTTCCAAAGCTGAAGATTAATCAACACTCACTCTATAGATTCATAAGGCTAACTACAAGAATTCAGTTTATATCATCACTCGAGGCTCGCAGTCCTCAAAAGATAACGATTTGTAACCGCTGAAGCGATCTTCTGCTGAGTTTCTCCTCCAAATATATTTGGGCATCCTAATCCTTTTCA